CCCAGTACCTCACACAAGCTAGGCCAGCACTCTACCACTGAGCTACAACCCCAGCCCCTGAAAGAAATTTTAAAAGACCTAAATAAATGGAGATAAATGCTGTGTTCATGAATTGGAAGACTTAAATAATGTTATGACGGCACTCCATCTGCATTGATAGATTCAACACTATCCCTATCAAAATTTCAATAGACTTTTGAAAATAGATATATAAACTGAATTTAACAGTAACATGAAAATACAAAAATCCAAAATACCCAAAAGTTCAAGGCTAGCCTGGGAAACTTAGCAAGACCCCATCTCTAAATTAAAAAAAAAAAAAATTTTTAAAGAGCTTAAACTATAGCTCAGTGATACAGTACCAATGGGTTCAATATCTAGTAACGAAAAAAAAAAAAAAAAAAAAAAGGTATTTGGGGCTGAGGATGTAGCTCAGCGGTAGAATGCTTGCCCAGCACGTGAGAGGCCCTGGGTTCAATCCTCAGCACCACATAAAAATAAATAAATAAAAAGAAGGTATAAAAAGGTGTTCATCTCAACAACCAATGGACATGATAAGGAAGAGATGGATAGTTTATTTCACATCATCCAAGCTACAAGCAAGGCAGGGACAAGGAAAAGGAGTACAGAGCTGGCCCCAAATCTTTCTTTTTCTCATTTCTTACAAAATTGAGGGCCAACCTATTCAAGATTTTGGGGAATGGTCATAAGAAGGATTTAGGTGAATGGATAACTTGGCAGATGTATAATTCTTTTGCTCACGATCCAGGAACTTCCGTTGGTTGGTTTCTGATATAGTCTGATCATTCAGAGTGTCTTTCACTGAGCCGCCACTAATACTGCAGGACCCAGTGTGAGAGGGATGGTTCACAATCACACTCCAGAAAGTTCTGTAGTTCAAATAGCAAAGRATTCCTGGGGAAAGGAAATTGGAGAGTGGGAAGAAGAGTGACAAGAAGTGAGGTTTCCTAAGAACCTGTCCCTGGGGATTGCCTGCCCTTCCCTCCACACTTGCTCTGCCCTGACCCACCCACATCCTCTCCTTCCCCAAGTGCTCTCCTGGCCACTCACCACAGGTGACATATAGGATAAATACCAGCCAACCAATGAAATAGCTCCAACCAAGGGGAACAGACAGATTCTTCTTCACCTCGAAGATCCAGAGGTTAATAGGATACAACAGGAGGACAGAGAAAATGAGGGTGACTGTGAGGCAGGAAATAGAGAGGTCTTATTCATCTGAGAATCCCAGAGGAGAACTACAGTCACAAACTACAACTCCCATGACCACACAGCCCACAGCACCTCACCCCCACCACCGCCCACCCTCCCCATCCCCAYCCCCACCAGGCTCACAGGAATCAACCCTTCCAATTCCATCTCTCCAGAGACTGGGAAATGATGTAGCCTAACTCTCAGTTCTCTTTTCCCATCATCCCAAAACTCCCATACCATCCCCAAAGAAGGGAGAAGTGCCCTCAGGAAGACATGGGTTAGGAGAACTAAGGACCTTTTTCAGAGCTGGGGGGCACCTTCACAGAAGCTCATGATGGTTCCAATCAAGCCAAAGGCAGGCACTTTCTGAAGACCTGGCAGGTACGGCAAGTGCAACCAGATGGTGAGCAGGAAGCCTATCCCCAGCGCCAAGCTGAAGATTACCTTGGCTACTCCAAAGACTGGGTGATTCGTCCATATCTTAAAAGTGTCTGAGGAAAATGACAAAACAGGATGAGCTCAGGATTCACTAAAGATAAAATATAATCAAATGAACAAACAGGAGAAAATGTTCAGTCCCATTTATAAACCAAAGAAATGCACATTAGTGAAAATAGTAGAACAACGCTTACACTTTTTAAGTAGGCCAAGATTTCCGTCCCACCTTACTAGGGATTGAACTCAGGACATGGGGCATGCTAGGAAAATGCTCTAGCACTGGTCTACATCCTGAGCCCACAAGTCAAGTTTCTTGATATGATATTGCTTGATAATTCCATGTGAAAATGAATACCTCGACAGAAAAAAAAATGGACAGATTTGAACTGTAATTCTCAAAAGAAGAAATGCAAATGTCAATCAATATGAAATATAAAGCTCAACATAAATTGATAAACCTGAATTTTTAAAAACTACTGAATTAGCAAACATCAGAATAAAGTTGAGGGCTGGGGTTGTGGCTCAGTAGTAGAGCGCTTGCCTAACATGTATAATCCCAGTGACTCTAGAGGTTGAAGTAGGAGATTTATAGGCCAGCCTCAGCAACTTTGTAAGATCCTAAGCAACCTACTAAAACCCTGTCTCAAAATTTAAAAATTTAAAAAAAAAAAGTTCTGGGGATGTAGCTCAATGGTAAAGCACCTCTGGGTTTAATCTCCAGCGCGCGCGCATACACGCACACACGCACACACACACACACAATTTTTTTTTAATTAAAAAATAAATAAAATTGATAATACCTACTATAGAAGAGTACATGGAGAAAAGAGGCACTCTCCCATACTGCTGGTAGGTAGCATTTCTGTTTAGTTGTCTGACACAGAGTATAAAAACAATTCTGAATTGTTAAGGCCCCTTGACCCAGCCACACTTCTTCTGGGAATTTATGTTAAGGACTTATCACCCAAATCTCACTATAGAGATCTTCTTTTGCAGAGCTATTGATATGTCCGACAAGCTTCTGGATTTCCAAGAGATTTGTATAGTAAATGACAGTGTTCCCATACATTGAATGATTAYTTTTCATTAAAAATGGTGACATGGTGGGGGACTGGGATTGTGGCTCAGCGGTAGAGCGCTCAACTAGCACAGGCAGGACCCGGGTTGGATCCTCAGCACCATAAAAAAAAAAAAAAAAAACAACAACAACAAAAAAAACGGTGACAGGAGAACTGGGGGTGTGGCTCAGCAGTAGCATACTTACCTCGTATGTACGAGGCCCTGGGTCCATCCCTATCACCAAAAAATAAAAATATAAAAATAACACAACAGAAGTTTGTCTCTGAATAGAACTTCTCTAGGGAAAAATGTGAGAAAATGGGGAGGGAGACTGACTGCCAGAGGTAGGTGGCACACTTGGCTGAATAATCTTCTCTTTTGAAAGGTTACTTTGTTCATGTATTACCTAATCAAATAAATTTTGAAATTAATGGTTATAAAATAATTGCTCAATGATAGGAGTAAGTGCTTACAACCAAAGTGTAGTTTCCAAAACAGAATCTGTTGAATTTAGATTGTAATTTAGGAAACACATTACAATGTCCACTGTGATTATATCTATGTGAGGAAACCTTAGGTGATTTTGATTTTCTTTCTTAAATTTTTCTGCATTTCCCACAATAACTGCCACTGTTTTCAATGAGAAAAATATTATATTTTTATACATTTCAGTTTAGCCTTGGCTGGCAAACATACAATGAATTAAGCACTCTCACATGTTGTTAGTAGAAGCATACAGATTGAACATTCCTAATTTGAATCCAACGTGCTCCAAAATCTGAAACTGTTTTGAGTGCTGACAGGACAACACAAGTGGAAAATTCTATGCTGACCTCATATAATGGGTCACAGTCAAAATGCAAGTGTACACTAAAAGTATTGTATAAAATTACCTTTATGCCATGTGTATTAAGTGTACATGAAATGTAAATGAATTTGATATTTAGACTCAGATCCCTTCCTAATAAATCTCATTATGGTTTGGTGTGGTAGTGCACACCTGTAATCCCAGCAGCTCGGGAGGCTGAGACAGGAGGATCCTGAGTTCAAAGCCAGATTCAGCAATTTATTGAGGCCCCAACTCAGGAAGACTCTGTGTCTAAATAAAAATATAAAAAAGGGATGGGGATGTGGCTCCGTGGTTAAGCACCCCTGGGTTCAATACCCAGTACAAAAAAAGGAAAAGWAAAACTCATTATGTGTACATATTTCAAATCCTAAAAAAATTAAAAATTGGAAACACTTCTCGTCCTAAGTATTTCAGATTAGGGATGCTCAAGCATGTAATACTTTTTGAAGAGTGTTGGGAGTTACTAAGGCTTGAACCCAGGGGCCCTTCACCACTGAGTCACATCCCCAGAGACTGGGTGTCACTGAGTTACTTAGGGCCTTGCTAAATTGCCAAGGTTAGCCTTGAACTTGTGATTCCTCCTGCCTCAGTCTCTAGAACCTCTGGGATTACAATGTGTGCCACTGCAACTGGCTCAATCTATAATACTTTTTGAAAGCAATATGGTTTTTTTTTTCTTAAAAAGTCATAAGATATTAGTACTCTTTGATCCTGTAAACCATCTGGGGAAATTTATCTCAAAAGAATTAATTCTCAATATTGGGGGAAAAAAACTTCACAATTAACAAACATTGTTGCTCCTTTTCCCCACTTTTTAAAAATTTTCTTCTCTCTCTCTCTCTCTCTCTCTCTCTCTCTCTCTCTCTCTCTCTCTCTCTCTCTCTCTCTCTCTCTCCCTCTCTCTCTCTCTCTCTGTGCTGGGGATTGAACCCAGGGCCTGGTGCATGATAAAAAAGTACTATACCACTGAGCTATCCCCCAGCCTGCTCCTGTTTTTTCAAATATGAAATTGGGAAAAAAAAAAAAGAGACATGATATACAAAAAAAAAAAAAAAAAGAAAGAAACTGGAAATGGACTTTCTAATAATRGGAAGATAAAATAACCAAGTGAATGAGGATAAATTGGTTAAATATTATAATCACTTCTAGTAAGGACAACTATTATGTATTAGGAAGACAAAATGTTAAATAATATAAAATTATTAATGAACCGTATGTACAACTATGTAAAATCCATTGAAAAWTTTTCAATTAAAAAAAAAAAGAAAAAGCCTGGTCATCTTTGAGTAGTACCACAGAGCGAGATGTTTCCATGAGCTTTAAAACCAGACACATTTGAGTTATAATTCTATACATGCCTTTATCAAGTTCATCCATACAAAATTGCATTTTGTAAGTGAGAAGCAGTCAAATATTGCTATTTCATATGGTTCAACCTAATAACTGTGTGAACCTGAACAAGATAGTTAATCCAAGACCCAATTTTCTCTTATGTAAAGTAAGGATAATTATCCCTATCTTTTACAATTGGCTGAGGATTTAATTGAACAAACGGAATAGAAGTGAATATGATAATTTTTGTTTCCCCAAATTTATTGTTATAAAGATGTTTTAGTTTCACAATAGAAAATAATATCCATATACTTTTTTTTTTTAAGGAAAATAAATAAATGGAAGTAGGCATCCAAAGCTCTGGTCATTCCCAAGCTGAGAAAGGAAGCTCAGTTCCTAAGAGTGAGGRGAGGGCATAAGACTTGAAAGAGAAAGGGATGAGGCCGGGCATGGTGACAAACCCCTGTACTACCAGCTACTTGGAGGCCCAAGCAGGAGGAAAGCAAGTTTGAGGCCAGCCTTAGCAATATAGCAAGGCCCTAAGCAATTTAATGAGATCCTGTCTCAAAATAAGAAGACAAAAAAAAAAAAAAAACCCAATCAATAAATGGGCCAAGGACCTGTACAGACACTTCTCAGAAGACGATATTCAATAAATCAACAAATATATGAAAAAATCTTCATTATTCCTAGAATTAGAGAGGTGCAAATCAAAACTATTCTAAGATTTCATCTCACTTCAGTCAGAATGCCAGATATTATGAGGATTAAACAACAATAAGTGTTGGCAAGGATGTGGGGGAAAGGGTACACTCATACACTGCTAATGGGGCTGCAAATCGGTGCAGCCAATATAGAAAGCAGTATGGAGATTTGTTGGAAAACTGGGAATGGAACCACCATTTGACTCAGCTATCCCAGTCCTCAGTTTATACCCAAAGGACTTAAAAATAGCATACTACAGGGACACAGCCACATCAATGTTTATAGCAGCACAATTCAGAATAGCTAAACTGTGGAACCAACCTAGATGCCCTTCAATAGATAAATGGATAAAAAAAAATTGTGGCATATATTCACAATGGAATTACTCAGCAATAAAAGAGAATAAAATCATGGCATCTGCAGATAAATGAATGGAGTTAGAGAAGATAAAGCTAAGTGAAGTTAGCCAATCCCCAAAAACCAAATGCCGAATGTTTTCTCTGATATAAGGAAGCTGATTCATAGTGGTGTAGGGAGGGGGAGCTTGGGAGGAATTGACGAACTCTAGATAGGGCAGAGGGGTGGGAGGGAAATGGAGAGGGTATGGGATTAGAAATAGGTGGAATGTGGTGGACATTATCATCCAAAGTACATATATGAAGACATGAATTGGGGCAAATATACTTTGTATACAACCAGAGATATGAAAAATTGTGCTATATATATGGAGATATAGCTCAGTTGGTAGAGTGCTTGCCTCATATGCACAAGGCCCTGGGTTCAATCCCCAGTACCACAAATAAATAAATAAATAAAAWTTTAAAAGTAAGGAATGACGTAGGTAGAAGAATTCAGTGAAGAAAAGAACAAGGAAGTCATCCATAGAAAAAGGAAAGTTCTTGAGACCCAAAGTGGGCCCAGAGAAACAAGGCCTGAGGCAGAAGAAAAGTACCTGGGACCAGGGAGTGGGAGAGAACATTCCAGGGAGTCCTCTAAAAGCTCTGATTATGCCAGTTTAGAAGAAGGAGACCCCCACCTCCAAGCCCTCCTTGGTGGATTCCATGATTCATGAGTGATTTATAAGGGTTGAGTCCACACTCTCATAATATTTATATAAGCACAGACCTGGCTCTGGATCTTATCTAAAGCAATGCCATTTTCCCTGGGGTCAAGCCAATTGATTTCTCCAGGGTGGAGTGGGAAAATAATCCTTGGAGGTTTCAGTGACAGAGGAGCCCTCTTGCAGGTCAAAGAATGAAAATGACTTGGAGAAAGGGAGAATAGCCAGGAACAACCACAGAGGTCAAGGCCGGCTGGGCTGCGGGGGGCGCAGGAGGAGAGGCGGGACTCACCTTTCTCATTTTCTACTTGGGAACAGCTCCTATCTGGGCAGGTATACAGCAGCCCCAGGGACATGACGTGGACTGAGGTATGGATGATGTTGTTTATATCCTTGGGAWAGCGCTTATAGAAGCGGCTCCCGGAGGGGTGTAACCATTTCTTGGAGAAGACCATGATCAGCATGAAGATGAAGGCCACTAGGCTGAGCTCTGAGGCTGCCACCTGCGCCATCCAGCGGGAGCTATGTGTCATTCTCCATTGCAAGGGCAAGGCGGAGTTCCGGCGATGATCCGAGGGTGATTGCTTTTTACTGTTGGGAGAAGGGACAGAGATCTGCATCTTCTCTTGTTGCCCCAGGTTCACCTCAACTCTGCTCCCCAGCCTTCCCCCTTCTTTTCCAGGCCTCAGATGTTGGTCTCCTTCTCCTTCTGACCCCTAGAGGACTCTGACCCCCTTCTTTTGCACCCCTTTTCTCCTCTATCCCATCTCCTCCTTCCCTTGCTTGGCTTACTTGTCCATCATCTTCTGAATATTTCCATCAGGCAGTCAGTTGCCAATATAGGGCCTGGGGTCTGGGAAAGAATAGGGGGCCTCTTATTAGGAATTTGAGCTCCAGATCCAAGAAAAGGCCCCCAAACCATTCAGCAGAACAGGGCCCCTAACTGCCATGGAATATTCCTGGGGAGCAGTGAGATGGGGGAGGGGACCATGGCTTCCACTCTAACCCTTTCTCAAAACTCTTGTTCCTTAGGCGCCAGCCCAGAACCATGGATCTGAGACGTTCCTCAGCTTCTCTCTTCACGAAGACAATGGTCTCTGAGGATCTCCTTTTTTCTTCCTATTTCCTCTGCCCTAACCCTAATCCCAAATCCTCACTGATAGAGCAAGGGAAGGAGAAGAAAGGGGTCCTCTGGAAAAACAACCTCCCTCCATTGTCCTTTGGATGAATCTTTCAAGTGTTGTAAGGGACCGGCGAAACGTCGGAGGAAGAGACCACCAAGAGACTGCCTCATGCAACAGCAAAAGGGTTTATTTGGGGACCAGCATGCTGGGGCTCAGAGCTCACTTGAATAGAGCAAAGAGAGAGAGCCCTGAGAACAGCTTAAGCAGAGCTTATATACTTTCCTTGGAGAGGGCAGGGAGGGAAGTTCATTGACGGGTCAGGGCGAGTGGGCAGTTTGCCTGCAACCGGGAGAGAAGTTACATTTTGTAGTTTGGCAGTTGGGGACAGCTCATTCTGGGAACAAGATTAGCAAACAGTTCACAGTTGGGGACAGCACATTCTGGGAACAAGATTAGCAAACAGTTCTTAAGATTTCAACAGTGTTTTGTTAAGCATATAGAAAAACGGAGTGACAAGTACCTATTTTATTAACCTTTCAGTGTCACCAGCCTTCCAACAACTTTCCCCAATCCCTTTCCTTCTTCCCATCTTTACTCACTTCCCTCTTCCCTTTATCTCTCTTCTTTTTTTCTCAGAGCCAGAATAGGGAAAATATATGATGAAGAGGAGCCTAGGGGTTTAGATAGACTGAGAAGACTCTTCCAACCTCCTTTTTTTTTTAATTTATTTTTTAGGTGTAAATGGAGACAACACAATGCCTTTATTTTTATGTGGTGCTGAGGATTGAACCCGGGTCCCGCCCATGCTAGGTGAGCACTCTACTGCTGAGTCACAATCCCAGCCCTCCAACCTCCCTTTTAAATTATTTTTTAAAAAATATTTTTAGTTGTTGATGGACCTTTATTAATTAATTAATTTTTATGTGGTGCTGGGAATCGAACCCAGTGCCTCACACATACTAGGCAAGTGCTCTACTACTGAGCCACAGCCACAGCCCCTCCCTTTTAAATTATAAGAAAATAAATGAGGTACCCGTGACAATCTGATCATTGTGGCTTCCAGACCTCAGTTAGCCCCTGGAACTCTCGTGAGCTTTCAGATTTAGGAAATGAGTTTGAACCCCGCCAGAGCTGGTTTCCTTCCTGGAGACAATGATATACATGGTAAGAACACAGGTTTTGGGGTCTGATAGCAGAGGCACAAAGAATGGAGCTTCCCCTAAATAGCTTTGTGAAACCTGGATGTCATATAAGCCTTTTTATGCCTAAATTCACTCATCTATTAGAAAAGGACAATACCACTTGTCTCATACATAGAATTGGCTTGAGTATGGAATGAGACAATAAACAAAAGCACACACTAGTCCATAGTAAATTCCCAGTAAGTGCAGTTCTTACTGTTAAATTATCATTTTTAGCCAGGCATGGTGGCACACACCTGTATTCCCAGTGACTTGGGTAGCTTTGACCAGGAGGATTACAAATTTAAGGCCATCTTGTGTGTGTGTGTGTGTGTGTGTGTGTGTGTGTGTGTGATTTTTAGTGTACAGACTTCTCAGTCCCAAATCCAAAACCACAAACAGGGAAGGAGCAAAAGCATAATCTGGGCACAGTGGCGCATGCCTATAATCCCAGCAGCTTGGGAGGCTGAAGCAGGAGAATCACAAGTTCAAAGCCAGCCACAGCAGTTTAGCAAGGCCCCAAACAACTCAGTGAGACCCTGTCTGTAAATAAAATATTAAACAAGGCTGGGGATGTGGCTCAGTGCTTAATCACCCCTGGGTCCAATCCCTGGTACCAAAGGAAAAAAAAATCATAAAGGATAATTCCTGGCAGGCATTAGTGCATACTAGTGGCTGCAGAGTGGAATTCAAGTTAATTTATTCAGGAGAGTTAACTCTGAATCCCAAAATCACATGCATATTAGGACCTCAGAAACTGGGAATCTTAGATTCAGATCCTGGTCTCTTCCCCTCCCTGAGCATCTTGCTCCTCTGCCAACCAGCCTGCTTCTCTGCTCTTGTGTACACAATGGGAAATGAGGCCCTCAAGTCAAGAGCTGTGCATCTGACACATTTGACTGCCAGAGTACAGACTTCTCAGTCCCAAATCCATATATTCTCTATCCCTGCCAGGGACAAATGGCATCCTTAGAACAATCAACCTTGTGCCAGACGCGGTGGTGCACAATGTACTCCCAATGGCTCAGGAGGCCAAGGCAGGAGGAACACAAGTTCAAAGCTAGCTACTCAGCAACTTAGCTGAGAGGCCCTAAGCAATTTAGTGAGACCCTGTCTCTAAATAAAATATTTTAAAAGGCTGGGGATGTGGCTCAGTGGTTAAGTGCTCCTGGATTCAATCCCTGATACAAAAAGAATTAAAGAACATTCTGCATTGGTCAGGGGCACTGTGTCAGGAGGCTGAATCCTGAAGAAGGGAGGAGTTGGAGACAATGCTGGAAGAGCGGGTGCTAGACCCTTTGGGAAAGTCATTCATACAGAACCAGAGATCATCAAGATTATTTCCTTTCTTGAATTCTTATTAGTTTTTTTTTTCTGGAGTTTCTAAACATTTTTAGTAAAAACAACCAGTTTTCACAACAACACACAACATGAAAGAATCTTAGAGATATAATATTTTCTAAAGAATGTCACTCCTGGAAAATTACACTATAATAAGTGGAATACTTTTTCTATAGAGCTCATATACAAGTACAACTAAACAAAACATAGTTTAAGCATACATACATTTACAATTGCATGATATTTTTTTAAAAAGCAATGGGCAGATTGGTGTACAACTGTGATCCCAGAAACTCAGGAAGCTGAGTTGATCTCCAGCTCAAGGCCAGCCTCAGCAATTTAGTGATACCCTATCTTAAAAAACAAAAATAAAAACAGCTGGGGATGTAACTCAGTGGGAGAGCACCCCCGGGCTCCATCCTTCATAGAAAACAAATAATAACATARCAATGGAGTAGTAAATATGAAATATCATATGATGGTGACTTCTCATGGGAAGCAAAAAGTAGAACAAGGAATGTTACTCTAGCAAATGCATATTACTGATAATAGTCCAGTTCCTGGGTTCGGTGATAGGTACACAAGGATTCATTATAATTTTTAGGTAATATTGATGTCATGTAAGGAAATATTAGGTAATATTTTAGGAAATATTTTAGGTAATATTGATTTCATTTCTGGAAGGAGCATTGAAAGTTCTTTATCCCTTTTCTAAAAGTTCGCTAAGTAGCCTTGGCAACTTAGCGAGACACTGACTCAAAATAAAAAATAAAATGGACTGGTGGTGTAGTTCAGTGGTAGAGCACCACTGGATTCAATCCCTAGTACCACCACCCAAAAAATAATAATAATTAAAAATAGTTCAAGATAGGAAATRTAATCTTAGCGATTAGTAACTTGGCAATGGAAGTTATTTATATTGTCACAATATGTAATGTAAACACTCTTCACTTAGTTTAGACTCTTCAAGTCAACAGATGGACAAAGCACGGAAAACTTAATTATAGCTTCAAAAGTAAACACAGCAGCTTTGACATTGCCTAACYGAAAGCCTAGAAGAGGTAAACTGGAAGGTGGAAGGAGGAGAGTTGAGAAGTAGGGGCACAGCCCTCAACAGATGGTAGTGAGAGAGTTGGTGAATAAATTCCCAAACTTCCTTGCCCCTAGATGCCCCTAGAYTAGGATAACTGATGCACATCCTATAGCAGGAACAGGCAAACATTTTCTGCAAAGGTCCAGATAATACATATTAGGCTTTGTAAGTCATATAGTCTCTATTATAAATACTTATCTTGGCTAATATATTGTGAAAGCTGTCACAGACCATATGTGCCTAGGTAGGAATGGTTGTTCCAATATATAACACTTTGCTTTATGGCCCTAGCCATAATTTACCCAATCCTTCTGTCTCCCAGAGTTCCCAGTGGGATTAAGCTCCAATTGCCCTGGTAATAATTGATTTGATATCCTCTATTGCCTTTCTTCCTTTCCTTGTTCCACTTCCTTATCCTTTTTCTAAATGTGTTATGGGGTTAATTCCCAGTAACTTCTTGCAATCAAATCTTTATCTTGGGGTTGGCTTCTGGGGGAACCCAAATGAAGACAAGTAAGAACTAACATGACCACTGTTTTTTTGGAAGAGAAAACAAAGAAGTTGAGCAATTTGCTCAAGGTCACAGAGCTAGTAAGTTTGGGGGCCAGCACTGGAATCTGGACAGTCTCACTCAAGAGCYGTGCATATATTCCAAGCATCCTAGAATATTAGCAGAGTGGGAAAGGGACTAAACATTTTTAGAAAAAAACAAAAATGTTTTTACTAAAAGGAATTCAGAGAAATGAGGATACTCACCCAAGAATGAAAGGAATTCCCAGAGTAGTGGGGAGGACCAAGAGACACAAGGACTTGCTCCTGGCAGCATTGTTATGGAGGCTGTAAGTACCCAGGAAAGAATGATTATGGTGTATCTGGGAAGA